AGAAGTAGAATGTTAATTCCAGTCTCCTGTCCTCATGCTAGGTTGGATGATTACTATTATTATTTATATTCTTTTATTGTATTTATTTGCTGCCTAAACTCCCCTTGTAGTTATCATGTATTACTCATTAAATGCTAACAGAGTGATTGGTGCTGTACAAGACCCAGGAGAAGACGTGGTCCTTGCCCTGAGCAGATGGAGAACACAAACCAGACACAGGAGACTCCGAGGAACGGGAAGCTTGCCCCTCCTTTTGCAGAACAAATGAGGGTGCAGCTTCCAACGCTGAAAGAGGATTTTGTGCAAGCTGACGATCCGAGAACTGCCCATGCCAAGGCCCTGTGTTGTGCAACCCCTCTGGTTCTCTTTGCTCATTTGCTTCCTGCGGTGCCAGAGCTCAGCCACCAGCCACTGTGCTTGGAATTCCCCATTGTGGTGGATTCTGTCAGGTGGAAGGGGGAGCACTTGGGTTAATATTGACTCTGTAAGTATTAAGTGGATATATGACGGGGTGGTAAGATGCACATAGAGTAGAAGACAATCCAACCCATCCCCCCCTTCTACCTAGTCTCCTAGTGTCAATGCTGATTCCTAGGGCGATGGGGTATCTAGTGGGAAGAGAAAAACAATACTACAAAGCTGGCACTTCTCCCTCCTTGCCTTCTGTGCAATGCAGATCTCCCCTTGCAGATGGAGGTGAAGATCTGAACTATAGCACTGGCATTTCATCAATTCCTATCCTAGTGATCGACGTCAGCTTTCAACAGGGTGGGGTGTCCCCAATTCATGTAGAGTTAGTTCCTCTCCTAGAAGGCTGCGTTAGTGGGGCAATAAAGTGATGAGCATCTTCGTTGTTTTCAGATCTCTGGGCAGACTTGCTCATTTGTCAGTTATGTGGATTTCTGGTAAAGCAGATGGCTTAGCTCTCATTGGCTGCAAGGTGATTTATTGTAAAGTCTCAGATTTAAGGACTGTCACTCTGTGACACTCTGTACCTCGGGGGAACACTCTGCACCCCCATTTTCATCCTTATAATATGATTTTGTAGTATCCAATGCAAAGTTTGTCATGTCGGGTGTCTTCGGAAGACTCATGATGCACTGAGCATTGTTGTTATAGTAATGTTATAGGTTGTAATTTCATGTATATAGTTATGAGGCTGAAAATGTGTCCTCAGGGCTTAAAACAGGCCCAGGCAAAACTCTCCAGGAGCAGAGGGGCAGATCACACCTCATCAGGGCAGATATGGGACAAACCCAGCCCAGCCTCACAGGAACAAAAGACACTGGCCTAGGCAGCAACAAAGGATCTGTTGGACTCTCGAGTGAGTCACCCCCCCTTCCTTTGGTCAGTTTGGGACTGCAATGAGGTAATGCTCACCTGACCCTGAAGAGGGGGGGCAAAGCCAAGAGGGAAGAAAGAACATGATAAAAGGGAGAGACGTTTGCCATGCTCTCTCTCTTCCATCTCCATCTACAACCACCACCACCAAGCGACTGAAGCGCTGATCAAAGGGGAGAGCCTGGCTGAAGGGCAACCAGCCAACCTGTGGTGAGAGGCATCGAAGTTTGTAAGGGCATTGAAAGTGTTAAGATCAGCTTAGAATGCGTTCTGCTTTCATTTCATTTGACCAAATCTGACTTGTTGTGCTGTGACTTATAATCACTTAAAATCTGTCTTTTGTAGTTAATAAATTTGTTTGTTTATTCTACCTGAAGCAGTGCGTTTGGTTTGAAGTGTGTCAGACTCCCTTTGGGATAACAAGCCTGGTACATATCAATTTATTTGTTAAATTGATGAACTCATATAAGCTTGCAGCATCCAGTGGGCATAACTGGACACTTCCACAAAGAGCCATTTACAAGATGTTTGTGCATCTATCTAGCTCCTGGCCTGACCTTGAGTCTAGATGCCTCTGACATTAGAAAGTTTATTGAAAGTTAGGAAAAGTGATGATTCAGTAGGGTCATTATGACCTGTGTTTTGTAAAAGTTAGTTATAAAAGTTTAGCTAATAGAGTGTACTTTGGAGCAGTCCTCTGAAGCCATCTTGAGAGATGTTTTTCCTGATACCCTTTCTCCGCGGTGGGTGAGCAACTGTTCACTGAGAACCTGTTGTTAATTACTCAATACCGTTCCAGATGTTAGGTAAATATCTGGGATGTTCTAAACCTATTGCTTATGTTTGTGTGTGCTTAAATCTAATAAACTGCAGTGTTAGACAAGAGCATGCTGACTTGCATTTAATCCTTGATCAGACAGAATCACTGAGTTCTTGTTGATTTATTCTTAACACCACCTAGAGCAAAATAGTTTAGTTGTCCCTGTTGGGGGTTCTGAAAACCCCGGTAACAACATAGCCTCTTTTTTAAAGGCTTACTCAAATGGAATGAAATTTGGTAATTAATCCTTATAATTAGGGACCTACCAAATTCATGGTCCATTTGGGTCAATTTCACAGTCATAGGATTTAAAAAATCATAAATGTCATGATTTCAGATATTTATATCTGAAATTTCACGGTGTTGTCATTGTAGGGGTCCTGACCCAAAAAGGAGTTGTGTGTTGCAAGGTTATTGTAGAGGAATTGCAGTACTGCTACCCTTACTTCTGCGCTGCTGCTGGCAGTGGCAATGCCTTCAGAGCTGGTTGGCCAGAGAGCAGTGGCTGCTGGGCCGGGAACCCAGTTCTGAAGGCAGTGCCGCCGCCAGCAGCAGCACAGAAGTAAGGATGGCATGATATGGTATTGCCACCCTTACTTTTGTGCTGCGGCCTTCAGAGCTAGGTCCTTTGTCAGCAGCAACCACTCTCTGGCCACCCACCTCTGAAGGCAGCAGCGTGGAACGGTATTGAGTAATTAACAACAGGTTCTCAGTGGACAGTTGCTCACCCACCGCGGAGAAAGGGTATCAGGAAAAACATCTGTCAAGATGGCTTCAGAGGACTGCTCCAAAGTACACTCTATTAGCTAAACTTTTATAACTAACTTTTACAAAACACAGGTCATAATGACCCTACTGAATCATCACTTTTCCTAACTTTCAATAAACTTTCTAATGTCAGAGGCATCTAGACTCGAGGTCAGGCCAGGAGCTAGATAGATGCACAAACATCTTGTAAATGGCTCTTTGTGGAAGAATTGCAAGAGGGGTATATAAAATGGCTCTTCCTATAATCTTGCAACACTATATTTTTAATCCATTGCAAAGTGACTTTAAAAAAAAAAAAGACAAATTAAGATTTGGGTTTTATTCCTGCCCTGATTTTTTTCCCTAGCTCACTACTAAGTAAGTAGCTTTGCATTCACGACACCTCTTGAAACATACGCATAACTAATGTGCCTCCATTGTGAAAGATGATTGTAACCAGGATCCTGGATTTTGAATTTTTGTTGCTCTGCACCTCGTGCAGGCATTTATGGCGGTACAAAGTGGGTGTGAAATGCCACCAGGTCAGCATGTGTTCATGGGCTACACACTGTGCAGGGTGATGAAGAATCAGGCCTGCTTTGTACTGAATGGTGCCTCTAGCAGTCCGGCTTTGGACTAGCCAGCTTTTGCTCCTGCACAGCTCTGATTGGTGCTCAGTCATACGAAGGAAAAGAGCATTTTGTGGCGCCTTTAATGTGTTCACAAGACAACATGATAATGTTAAAACAATGATGTGCTGGATACAGGTTGTTGTGCTTAATTGGTCCCACTGCAAGCTGGCAGAGAGGCCAAGCAGCGAATGGGTTTATCTCAGTGGTTCTCAAACTTTTGTACTGGTGACCCCTTTCACATAGCAAGCCTCTGAGTGTGACCCCCCCTTATAAATTAAAAACACTTTTTACACATTTAACACCATTATAAACGCAGGAGGCAAAGCGGGGTTTGGGGTGGAAGTTGACAGCTCGTAACCCACCACGTAATAGCCTTGCGACCCCCTGAGTGGTCCCGTCCACCAGTTTGCGAACCCCTGGTTTATCCTCTCACTTCTGTGGCATAATCCATCCTGGTCAGGGCTGAGGGAAGTGGGGGTCAGCAATTTGGGGAGGAGCTGTGGCCCTGTCAGATCTGTTTGGGGATAAATAGAAGGCTTCAGTCTTCAGGGCTGCCAAGCCAGCATTGCTCACCAGCAATACATTATCAAACATTACAGTGAAACAAAAAATGAGACCAGGATGGATCCTGGTGCAATAAGCATGTTTGAAGGACCAGACTCAGCCCAGGGTCTATGCTGGAGCAGACCCTGAAAGGGATCCTAGTAGTACAAAAGTAGGCACAACCACCTGCCGTTTGCTAGGAAAGGGAAGGAGGGGCTGTAGAAAGTGTGAAGCCCGGAGCAGAGAAGTGGTCACAGAAAGAGCGGCTGGGTCTGGGAAGCAGGCTGGGTCCATTGTTCCCCTTGGCAGATTTTGGGCTCCTCCTGAATAGATTTTTAAAGTTTCCCTTCTAAGTGGCAGCTCCATGAAAAGGCAAACTCGATATTCTGCTTTACCTGGAGAGTAGTCCCCATTCTGGGCCACACGGGGCTTCACTGGACTAGCACGGTATATACTCTCCCCTGCCCTGGCTGAATTCCGACGGCTTTTGGTCCCCACAACCCTTGTTCTTTCAACCCCCCCTCCCCCCCCCCGCCAGTATGCACTGATTTTTAGGTTGTTGCCACCAAAGTCTATGGTGCTGGCTGCTGTCCTGTTAGTTTGCATGGAACGTCGCTGCTGGTGACACTCGTACGCCTTTTGATAAAGTAGCCGCCAAAGCGCCAGTCCCTCTGTGAGCCATGCTGCAGACCCACTTCGATCTGAGACATTCATTAGTGTCGTTTGCCAAAAGGTTTATGTAACAGATGTTACAAAGCAGAGAGAGAGAGAGACACACACACACACACAGAGCAATACTGGAAGAGCTGTTGGGGTGATGGAGGGAGGATATTCCGTGGGACTAAAGTAGCTCAGAGGCACAGCTGCATCTGCTAAACAGCAACTAATGTCTCCGTGTGACCATGCTGTATTTTCAGCTTGTCATCATGGCTGGGACCGTTCTGCTCGCCTACTACTTCGAGTGCACTGACACTTTCCAGGTGCATATCCAGGGTTTCTTCTGTCAGGATGGAGATTTGATGAAGCCTTACCCAGGAACGGAGGACGAGAGCTTTATTTCACCTCTGGTGCTGTACTGCGTGCTGGCTTCGACCCCGACAGCTATTGTAAGTATAAAACCACTTTCATTCTTCAATGCTGATGCAGAAAAAGAAAATCCTTGTAATCCCTGATTTTCCTTTTCCCCTCTCTTCTTTTCAACTGTAGTTGATGTATGTTTCTGTTGTGGCAAAACAAAGAGAGCAGCCTCATAAAATCCACATCAGTTATCCACAGAGGTTCTGGTTAATTCTAATACTTAAAAAAAAGCAAGGTGAAGCTGCCTGCAGTTTAAGAATGTACAGTAACTAGCTCACTTGAATAGTTGGCTATGAATTGCATGGTTTCCAGAGAGGCCCCAAATGCAGAGATTATGTGTTCTTGGCAATAAAATAACCGTAATAAGATTTGCATCAGATCTGAAATGATACAGCCAGGACTATTTGCTGCTATTCTGAAAGGACGGCTGAGGGCTCAGATGAGGGGGAAGCTGCTTTATAACGGTTTCTAGTTATTGACAAGTGCAAATGTGCTTTATTTTTATGTGTGTTGCTCTCTCTCACACACATCAGTTAACTCTCTTCTTTACCTGTTTTTCTTTTATGATCCACAAAACAATAAAAACAGCCCCCGTGCTAAAGCTGTTTTCAAGTTGCAGGACACCAAAAGCTCTAAACTGCTTCTTAAAGTCACTCTAACCTCAAAACATTGTGTTTCTTCTTTTTTTGCACAAAAAATAACAAATATAATTAATAGCCAGCTTTGTTAATAATCTAGCTAAATGAATGCAATTTAATTAGATATTATCCTTTTTGTGTGTCTCTTTTTCTGCAAAGTTATTAACTCGTATATGTGGATCTTTAAGACGGGTGATTGCAGAAGTGTATGTCATTAAATTTCTTGGGGTTTCTTTTTAGTTTATTGCAACTTTGGGATCGTAATTGAACTAATAGCAGACACAGACAATACAGAAAATAATCAGAAAAATAAGGGGAAGACTTTCAAAAGGGGATAAGGGATTTAGGTGCCCAAGTCCTACTGAAAGCCAATGGGACTTTTATGTCTAATTCCCTTAGGCACTTTTGAAAATATTCCCTACTAGCAGTTGTATTTTCTGCATTAGCACTCCAGGCTCAATAGGTAATTTGACTTGGTCGAGTTCACTTAATGCTGCACCAATTTCAGGGTTTGCAAATGAAGGAGTTGCATTGAGACCAGGGAATGTTGTCGCTTTACACCCATCCTTTCCCACCAAAATGCATTTTGTGCCATCTAGGGAAGTAGCTTTTGGAAAGCAGCGTTTGTACAGGGAGGTTTAATGCACTTCTCACTATAGATTTGATACTGCACAATTGAACTCAATGGGAGACTTGTCTTTGACTTCAGGGGAACAGGTTCTGGCATGAGATGGCCAAGTATTTGGTACAATGCTGCTCTCTGGGAACTTTTTCCCTTGGGAGTCTTCCTGTGAGCAGGACAAAGTTGCTGTGGCATTTTAAATGTTGTTTCACTGGGGGAACATTTCCCCTCCACCCCAAAGGTCAGTGACAGAGCTTTCTTTCCTCAGGGCCCTCAGCTACCTTCCTTGGCCAAGAAAGGCTGAGTGGGGTTATCTTTGGAGTCCTTCAGAGCTGATCCTTCCTCAATCCCACACTAATGTGATGTGCTTCTGCTGCCAGGAACTGATCAGTGCTGCCATTGTAGCATACATAGCCCTTGCCAGCCCAGGGAATGGAAGATCAGGCCTGGGAGTCCAACTCAGAGCTATTGGACCAGCCATCTAAAGCCTTTTTTGTCTCATATTCAGTATATCCTGGTGTCTAGCACTAGGTTCTCTTTCCCAGCTAATCCCAAAACAAAGCATGTGCCAGGGGCTGTCTCATTTCTTCAAACTTGAATGTGTCAAAGTCAGACTCAGGACTCACAATTTGTCAGACCACTCTGTTTATTAGCAAAAGCGCTCTGCTAACACACCCAGAAAATGTGAGCCCCATACAAGGCTCAAACCACCTTATTTATACAGAGAAAAGGGCGCGAAATTAACAAGATTACAAAAGGAGCAGAACTGATAAATTTACCTGGGTCTAGACACATATCTCATGTCCTTATTAACTCTCACCAGTCTCCTGTTAATGTCCCACCATCAGTTTAAGTGGACCCATTGTTCAATATCTTAATGTTCCTCTTCCTGACAACTTTATCACAACATTCCTCATTCCTGCTTTAAAGGAACATACAGCATTTCATTAATTCATTCTACTTCTACAATATAATTCATTCTACTTTCACAAATGGTTTGATCTGAGTGGGTTCAATACATTTCTAAGACATCCACACCCATTTCTTTCCGGGCCACCATTTCCTACCCGCCCCAGTACACTCAGGCGACAGGCCTGCCTTCCCACTCCCAGCGGCTCTTTCTATGCACGCCTTCCTCGCACACCAACCATTAGAAGCATCATCTCTAATCAAGTCTCAGCAACCCCTGCCATACTGTGGCATCTCTAAACTGTCACCCACATCCCTAACCTGCATGACTTGGTCATTGTGCATTGCACTGCCTACCAAATCACCCTGCAATACACATCCTTACTGATGCTTACAGCCCTGGCAGCTTTTGCAGCTGGGGGCGTGATTTGAAAGCCAGTGGAACCCACATGAGGTTCAGCCAAATGAAAGGATCCTGTCTCTTCCATTTATGCTATGGCAATTGTATCCTCAAGAGAACAACCCCAAATCAGGTTTCCTTCTCAAACACCAAACTGCATCCCATTAAGAACTCCTCTGTGGCTCATTGAACAGACGATGTTCGAGGTAAAAGTTTTAGGTGTGCTAGGGTTGCTTCTCCCCTCAGTGTATCTGCCTAACTCTACTTCACATGAATGAGAGTCACAGGTGCGTATAGAGAGCCAGGGCCGGTGCTACCATTAAGGCAAACTAGGCGGTTGTCTAGGGCGCCAAGATTTGGGGGCATCAAAAAGCAGTGCCCCCAATTTTTTTTTTACAGCGTTCCTGGCCTGGGCTGCCGGCGGCGCGCTGACACGTGCAGCTCAGACTCCCTCTCCCAGCGCAGCGGCCGCTCCACTTCTCCCGCCTCCCAGGCTTGCGGCGCCAATCAGCTGTTTGGCGTCGCAAAGGCTGGGAGGGGAGGAGAATTAGAGCGGGGGCGGCATGCTCGGGGAGGAGGCGGAGCAGAGGTGAGCTGGGGTGGGGAGCTGCCACACGGCTCCCCGGGGGGGGGGAGCTGCCGCGGGGGGGAGTGGGGGGCGCCTCAGCAGGGGGAGGAGCTGCCGTGGTGGGGGGCGACTCAGGGCGGGGGAGAGGGCGGCAGGGAGCTGCCGCAGGGCTGGGTGGGCACAAGGTGGAAGTTTCGCCTAGGGCGCAAAACTTCCTTGCACCGGCCCTGTAGAGAGCCTACACTCATTGCAGGTTAATCCACAGCTTCACTCTCGGCACTCTGCTATCAAGAGTAATCATTGTCAGCCCACAGCCAGGCCTATGGAGAGTGCATTAAAATCAAGGGTAATGTCAGTCCTCTTTTATAGCAATGATCCTCACAAGTGAGATTATTGCTGCTGTTCTTACAAGATGATCTGCAGGATCATTCGATAAGAGCTGTCTGCACTGGGGGAGGGGGGGGCTAGTAGACACTACCCCACTTCAGATTAACCCATAAACCATGAACAATGTGCTGCTTCAGGCTTACCAAATACACTGCATGCGCTTGTAAGCAGAGTCCAAGTCAGAGCAATGGGTCAGTTTGACTAAGAGGATTTATTACTGTGAATCTGATTTGCCCTAATTTTATCACAGTGCCAGCACCACATGGCATGAGGGAAATAACTATTAACCCAGCTTCTTGGCATCTCAAAGAAAAACAACTAGAGAGAGTTTGGTAAAACCACACGCCTACCCTAGTGCGTACACTGGCATACAGCAGCCGGGCATGCTTGGGTGCGGTCCCTCATGCACATATTTGAAAGTCCTAATTCTAGTGCAGCTTTGAAATGTTGCGGGATTTGAAGGGAGCGTGTTAGCGAATACGGAGCATCTTGTGGAAAGTTTGTTTTGTTTGGGGTTTCTTTTTGCAATCCAAGTTGGAATCAAACGGCTGTGACTACGGGTGGCAAAATGCATGCATGAATCTATGTGCCCCCAAGCAAATCAAACGCTTATCAGAAACACTCTTTTCATTTAGTAACATGCTGTGTGCTTTTAGCTGTCTAGTACCTGCAACATGAATGAGACTCCCCTGCTTCTGCTCTCGTTGAAACTTGCTGTTGTGCAAGTGGACCCATTAAGCTATTTTCCCTGCTGCACTGAATGTTTAATCACTAGGCTCGTGCGTGACAAACATCTTTTGATGTAATATGTGACGTAACCTTTTGCTGTCAGGAAGTCCCTGCAAGGGGAAGTGCTTGCCTCTCATTGGGTCACAGTTAAATAAATAAAAGGTACACACACCGGTCTCAAATCTCAGAAATGCATTTTTCACCCCAGTGTTCCATTGAGGATAGTTCAAAGGGTTTCATCTTGCTGTACTCAGTTGTCATTCGAGACTCTGAGTGCAGTGAAATTAACATCTTCTCTGTAAAGCAGCAGAAAAGTAGTGAATGAAATGGTAATTTGCACCCAAAGAAGGACAGAGTGGCTTTTTTCTATTCCAAAGAAACTGCTGGCATTTTTATTTCTGATTTAATAACTTGCCCTCCTCCGGATCATAAATCTTCACCTCTTGAGTCTTAACATTTCCTTTAGCTTTGGTGTAGAAGAATCGTTCCTGGAGTCATGTTAACAGGAATTGTGTTTATTTTACATGCTACCTGCAGTGCTAGATAGTTCCTGGCACAGTGAAAAGCTCAACAAGACAGCAGGGTTGCATCCTCATCTGGTGTAAATGGGGCCAGCTCCGTTGACATCAGTGGCGCGACACTGATGAACAGCAGCCTGACCCCCAACTGCGCAATTTAGTTTTGCGGGGGGGCCCCATAGTGTGGGACCCTGGGCAATTGCCCTGCTTGCCACTGCCTAACGCCAGCCCTGATTCTCGAGTAACACAGAGCACTGG